GAGATGGCTGCAAGCACAAGGGCCATTCATAAATCACTTCCCTCAGGGTCGTTATCGCTTTGAACGGCTGCTAAACGAATGGTTGTAAGTCAAGGACTATCTGCACAACCATTGAAAACCAAGTGAAAAACCAAAATCAGACCAATTGTGGCCATTTGTTTGGGCTCACCCCCCCTCCCCCGTTTTGAGGAAGGTCACCCCCAACTGGCATCCAAATTAACAGGGCCACTTAGCAGAGAGAGAGAGAGAGAAAAAAAAGAATGCCTGTTTTTCTTTAGCTGCTTCCTCCCCCCCCCTCATTTCGGCCTCTGTGCCTTTCCTCCGAGAACCGCCGTTTGCAACTCCAGTTATCACCCTGGAGACCAGCTAAACAAATCTCTCAGAGTTAATTCAACTGATATTCTGAAGATTGACTGGATTCTAAACAAGGGAAGAACGGGGGAAGGGAAGAAAATCTGTTTTTTTAGGGCGGATTTTTGTGCACGAGGGCTGAATTCTTCAGGGTTTCTCATGAATCTCTGCTTTTCCCTTTTTATTTGCAGGGCTCTAAGAAAACGCAGAAAACGCAAGATTATACTCACCGGTAGCTTCATAGGGGGAATTCTGGCTTTTTAAAAAAAATCATATTAGAGTTCATTTTATTAACAAAAGGCCTCTGAGACCTCTTCCGTGCTTGGTTTGGGGAAAACAGATATCCTGAAAGAATCAAGAAAGCTCAGAAGTCTTTTATTAACTTGTATTCCCCCCGCCCCCGGGAATCGCTACAGCTGTGTTTTTCAACCTTAGCAAATTTAAGACGTGTGGACTTCAACTCCCAGAATTCCCCAGCCATGGAATTCTGGGAGTTGAAATCCACACCTCTTAAAGTTGCTGAAGTTGAGAAGCACTGCACTAAAGTAGCAATAACAATTAGAATTATATACCGCTTCGTAATGCTTTACAGCCCTCTCTAAGTGGTTTGTAGCAGGGATCCTCAACCCCTGGGCCACAGACCGGCACCGGTCCATAGCACACCGGAAACTGGGCTGCACAAACGAGCAAAATCCCATCAGCACACACGCAGGATGTAGGCAACACACAAAATCACACTCTCTCTGGTCTGTGGAAAAGCCTGTCTCCAGGGAAATGTGGTCCCTGGCACCCACATTTTGAGAGCCGTTGCTTTACGGAGTTAGCATATGTTTAATATTCTGTTCTGCAGTGATTTGCCTAACAACCATGCCCCCAAAAAGTTGTTAAATCAGACGCAACTCATTGAACAACTACCTTGCTTTAGCAATGGAAATTCTAGTCATAAATCTAGGACTACCTTTACACCACAAACTCCACTTCAAAAAATAAAAATAATAAATCACAGTGAGGCGGATTTGATTCTTTATAACAATTGCCTGGGTAGGAATGATTATTCCTGGATTTGGTCCTGAAACAGCCTTTCATTTTCTCCAGGAATGCCCTGAAACCTGGAATGTGAACTCAATCTTGAAATATAGATGTTTTCGTATAGTGATTGCGGTTGGAACGCAGAGCGTCCCTTGAGAACGAATATTCCATCTTATAGCCCATTACACTTCACTCAGCTTTCAGTTTAGCTCATAATTATTGTGCCTTAATTGATTGCCCCGTTCTTCTTGCTACAACAGAACGCTGCTGCCTGGGCTGAAATATAGAAGTCATTTATCCCAGTGCCTTTTAAGTTGATTGTAAGAACAGGATAATGCCAAAGAGTTCATGGTGGATGTTTTTCACTTTGATCCTTCTTCCTTGTAAAATGTCAGAGAGGGGACTGCGTCTCAGCGGAGGCTCAGTAGAGGCTCTGCTTCCCTTCTGGATGGAAGTGCCAACCCAACCTCAATAAGAAGGAGATGCTGGCACCCCGAGGGGTTATCTTATCAGTCTGTTGCAACAATCTCAGCAAGTCGTTTTGTGTTTAGCCTTTCCAGATCCATTTTTGCAATCTCGAGAGCTGATTGTCCCCAAACCACAACAGGGAAAGTGTGAGCCATTTCTACTCAATCTGAGTCCTGAGGGGTTTTATATATATATATATACTGCTCAAAAAATAAAGGGAACATTTTACCATGGAAGTGAAGGGGTTTGCATTCCCTTTATTTTTGTGAGCAGTATATATAAAAGTGGGGGAATAAGGAATAAAGAAAGTTCCAAAGCCTGATCAAAAAGGTTACAATTTAAGAGAGGAAGGAAGGGAGGGAGGGAGGAAGGAAGGAAGGAAGGAGGAAGGGAAGGGAGGGAGGGAGGGAGGGAGGGAGGAAGGAAAGGAAGGAAGGAAGGAAGGAAGGAAGGAAGGAAGGAAGGAAGGAAGGAAGGAAGGAAGGAAGGAACTAAATGTACCTGTTGAGTTTGGCTATTACACATGGTTTGGTTTGGGTGGTAAGAAACAAAATCACTAATAGTTATTATTGCCAGGAAGTGCTTTCTGGGTAAATACACAGTTTGTCAATCACATGAATAATATATTTTTTTTTCTCCTTTTCTTGTGCTGGTTCAACATGAAACCCAAGGTTAACTTAGCAAGTTAAATCCTGGTTTTCAGAACTAACCACGATGCCCGGATTCATATACAGTAGCTTATTATCTGAATCACCTTTGCTTAGACAACCTCCAGGGTAGATTTCAGTTGCCCCAAATGTTCAGAGTTCTGGGTGTTGTAGTCGGTACACTAGAAAGTCCACATTTTGGAAAAGTAAACCAAGCCACTACAACCAGGTGTTTTCAACAGACTGTGGGAAGCATGCTGGCTGGGCAATTGTGGAAGTTGAAGTCCACATATCTCAACGTTGCCAAGATTGAGGAAACCCTGAGGTAGAGGATGATAGGTTGGGAAGGATGCCTTAAATGAATCCATAAATGCCTACTCATTTCCTTTACATTCTGTCTTTATCATGCAGGACTACATACAAGCCCAGTTGCAAAGCGTGCTAGATGGAATGGAATGATTAGCCTAGATGGAATGGATTGATTCGCCTATGATTTGGCATCTCCTGGAAACCTGGCCATCGTCTTGGCAGTGGGGGTGAACCAGACCCATAATGAAGTCATTTGGTTGTAAACACAAGAAAGGTGTTGACAAAAGAGAATATTTGCAGCTCAGGGTTGAGCTCGCACTGATGACGTTACCTAGTTTGGTAATGAAACGTCTGCCAGAAAAACAAGAAAGGTGTTTTTAAAACCTGGCTTTAAAGTGCTGTGTGAAGCTTGATAGATTCTTTCCTCTGCCCCTTTTAGTAACGTTCTGAGATTGGACATAAATGCTATTTTCACCCCAGATGCTCAAATCTGCATTCAGAAGGACTTCTGACTGGGCACAATACACCAATCCATGCACGAAGCAAACAGGAAATATTTATTTGCAATGTCAGGCCAGGAAGAACCCAAGGGAGGTGAACTGGGATCAAATTTTGCTCTGCTTTTTTAATTGGTTTAAGCATGTTGTCTGAATATTGCCTTTGACTGGTTTTGGGGGGGGGGGTCACTTCGCGACCAAGACCTTTCCTTCCCTGGTCCTAAGGATCGCTATCCCATTCCTGCTTCTCCTTCCAGGTTTTTTTTTTTTTTTGGATCATTGATCCAACAGCCCCACTTCTCCCCACACCCCACCCCACCCTGCTGCCCCCGCTGCTCCTTCTACAGAACCTTGGTGGAAGGTTTAAAGGTGCAAGAAAGTCACTCGGAAGCAGACTAGAGGCGCCTGCCCCCCATTACCCCCCCCCTCGTCAAGATTGTCTCTGGCTCTTACTCCATTCTCTGCCCGTTTCCTTCGCCATGGGCAGGACACGGGCGCTCACGGGCGCGCGCGCGTGTGTGTATCTTCGTGCGCCTTAGCTGGGGGGGGGGGGGGAAAGCAGAAGAAGAGACCCACGCTCCGCTCCCGACTCCCATGCAGGTCTTTTTCAGAGAAGCTGCAGCAGCCCCAGCCTCCGCCCCTCCTCCTTGCAGGGGAGGGGGGCGCGCGTCTCCTAGCAAGAGTTTTTCCCCCGCTGGAGAACTTGGCCAGCGCTCTGGCGGCGGGGTGTGTGTGTGTGGCGGCGGCGGCGGCGCCGACGGTGGAGGAGGAGGAGGAGTGGGGACACTGAAGGGAAGAAGGAAGAGAGCAGGGACTTGACTCTTTTTTTTTCTCCTCGCCCCCCCCTCCCGCAATCCGCTTTCCCTCTGCAAAAAAGCAAAACGAAAAAACCCATTCCGTCCTCTCTCCAGCCTCCTTCCCTTCTCCACCTTCTCTCCCCCCCCCACACTCTCCGTCTCTTTTGATCCCCCCCCGGGCCTTCCCAACGGCGTGAGCCCCCACCCCAGTTTCCC